TGAAGTAGTAATACCAGAGCATTCTACTCTGTGTAAGGTTCATCGGTCAAAATAAAACATTTAAAAACTGCATCGTACAACACCAGCGAGACCTGAGATTATGTATTCAATTTGTCCTCTAAATCTTATTCTAGCTATTGCTGAGATAGAGATGTCTGATTTAAATCTACAAAAGTTTCTTTTTCTTCTATGTAAAAATATAAAATAAAATAAAACAATAATCAAAAATATAAAAAGAATAAAAAAAATAAAAAAGTAATGACAAAAAAAAAAGTTCATATTCTACTGACTATTTAAGTCCTAATGACAAAGTGCAAGGTAACTAAACAGGAGCATTTGGAGAGTTAATTTTTTCTTCTCAATAATTTTCTAGGTAAATTTGCTTTTAGTATCACATTAGAAATCGGTGGGTACACATTCTCAGTTTGCACAATTTTGAAGCACAACATTCTTTATGTAAAGTAATGATTTTCCTCCAATGCTCATTCATTTCTCTACATTTTTTTCTGTATTTTTTTTGTTTTTGTTTTTTTAATCTTCCAAAGATATTTTACAAAGAAAAAAAAAAAAAAAAAGTGTTGAGAATCATAAAGATATTCAAAGAAATGTTAGTGACTGGAACACCAAACATAATCACTACAGAAAAGTAAAGCTACTCCTTTGTTACACATCACTGCTTAAATATAAAAGTTTCTCCCGCTTCCATGTTCCAAAAATGAACACACCTTAAAGGAGCAACTTTCTAAATAAAAAAGAAAATGAGGAAATCACTTAAAAAAAGAAAAGACAGCCCTCCACAATGTACCTGGAATGCTTGCTGAAGTTGCATCATTACCTATAAACATCAACATGATCCAAAAGGGGAAATGTTTTCATTGAGACGCACACTGTCTACATAAAAATAACAGAAGGGTATCAAACCTTCACACATTTATTCCAATTCAGAGCATAAAAAAAAAAAAAAATTCCAAGGTACAGAGGGCAAGTTCTTGTATGACTAAACTTTTCTATAATACACTTTGCACCAAAATAATGACTGATCGTTGGGGGGAATACTTCTGTTAGGACCTCAACATGCAGAGGAGAGAGTCATAGGTAAAGACAACAAATATGTAGAAATGTTTGTGTCAGAGTGAGTGCAAGTGTATGAGTATGAACATTAAGAATGAGAGTGAGCTGGTGGATGTGGGTATGCTTGTGCTTGGTTAGGAGCGAGGAAAAGAGAGGGAGCATGGGTGTGGGTGTGTGTTGGTGTGGAAATGGGAATGCATGTATGTAAATGGATCTCTGGGCATTTTCCTGTTTGTTGTTGCATGTGTGTAAGTGATTATGTATGTGCCTGTGGATGCTAAGGAAGTGTGTGTAGATGTACATAGGTACATGTGGAGTGTGCATTTGTGTGTGCATGAGCATGGGCATGTGAGAGAAAAACAAAAAGTGTACTGTATCCTTTTTTAAGATTTAGCAGATACCCACTGGCATACAAAACTGAACACAGTTTCTTTACTAGATTCCACAGCGATATTTTCAGCAGCCACCTGCTATATCTACCTCTGTTTCTTGTCCTGAATTTAAATCTATGCTGACTGATAAAGAAAACAGAAAAATGAAAAAATAAAAGCAAGAGGTGACATTTTCTACATGACTAAATTCACATTTGATTATACATGAAAAAGGTCATGCATTAAATCTGAAATTAATACCTATAATCATCATTCAATAGTAGACTGCTCTTACATAATCATTGGTTTAAAAATTCTCTCCATATAAAACAAGAATTCACATTGTGAGCATATATTAAAACTGTACAAACTGTGCAAAACAAATATGACTGCTGAAAATACCTCTGCCTGGAGAAAATCACATGTGAGACACCAATTAAGAACTAAAATGATTTCTTGAGGTCTTTTACTAAAATCAATTTTAACAAATTGTTTAGTTTCAGATAAAAAGAAAAGAAAAGAAAAAAAAGGTAGAGTTTCAGTTAGTGTTACAGGAATTTCATCAAAGTTAATTATAATGTTAACAGTAAGAAGCTAGCCTTTATCATGCTACATTTTCTTAATGACTCCTTTACATAATACAAATAACTTTGATAACACCTGAACTCATAATTTTAAATCAGTGTATAACTTCCACTTCCTTTCATCAATTCGCTGTCTCTCTTTTTATTGTTTCAGTAAAACATCATTACAAATAACCACATCCAATGGTGTCGTCTATTCGCCATCATAAAACCACTATCATCACAAAGAAAAACTACTGTGTAAATTTGTCAATACATATCATACTGAGGTATGCTCAAGCAAGGCTGACATGTAATAGGGATCACACACACAAAAAATCTGCATTTTCTGGTTAAGTTCTCAAAATAGTCTACATTTGAGAACGGTATTTCTTTTAAGATCCAACTCAGTTGAACATTTCCTCTCACTTAGACAGCATTAATAAAAAAGGAAAAAATAATAAAAAACAATAATAGAATTATGGCTTTCTTTTCAAAGCCTTAGTTACATACAGCTCTAAGAATTGGACCCAAAATACAGTGTCTCAGATCTTTAACACAGACTTCCTCTTTCTCTTATTTTTTTCTTTTACATTGTTTTCTTAAGAGCTGACAAGGTGAACATATTTTTTCTCTCTTCTTTTTCTTTCTTTCTTTCTTCTGTCTTCCTTTTCAATCTTTGGTTCATCTGACTTGAAAGCTATACATCAAAAGAACAATGATGAACTGCTGAACTCATGTTTCCTCTTTCACTTCATCTCACGGGTCTTTCCTAGCATGCGTGCTTGTCTCTTCACATGTCGTCTAGGGATGGTAACCAGAAGGCCTGGAAAGAGAATGAATAATACTTCAACAAATAAGAAAGAGAGCATTTGACACGTCTCTTTCACAAAAGAGACAAAAATTGTGATTCTCATGAGGACTTTGGGATATACGAGACTAATTTTGAATTACTCATATATAATATTATGTCTGCCGACAAGCCTAACTAATGTACTTTTCAAAATTGTGTTTATGATACTCTGATTCAAGTCAAAGACAAAGATTCTTATATTATCATACTGGCTTTTAACCCACTGCTACTTGGAACATGTCCACTTTGATTAGTGAAATTTGTTTGTTTATACATAGAGTGCTCCAAAAGTGCTCAGGCACTAAGGAGCTCATTGGTGGGCCAATGTGATTTCACCTGATTTCCCCTTTTCTTTATTTATAGGGGAAAATATCTTTTTCCTAATGCTATTAACTCATTGGATCCAGGTCACGTGAAGGCACAAAGCTCTTCAAGGAAAATTTAGAAGGGTGGAATGTACCATCCATGAGCCATGGCTGGAAGAGTGCTGCTTCAAGGGAGGACACCATTAAATAAAAATATGACACAAACAACAAAATATTCCCTATTGTTACAGTTCAGAGTTGTAGACGACCTTGAGAGATATGGAGTTTGTGCAAGAAAACAATCTATTACCATCTTGATTCTGCATTTCAAATAACAATTATAGACCTTGGGTAAATGGCTAACAAACAAAAAATGCTTAGGCAAGAAAAGACATGATAATATTACAAAGGGGAGCAACAAAGTCTAGAGAATGCGCACAAGTGTTCACGTGTGCTGGGACTACAAGCCACATACCCAGGAGAGTCACCGATTAAGAAATCTGAATGCCTGGATTTTGGGCAACTGCTATTATCATGATTATTGACATTATGTCTAACTAAAAAGACTAATAGCAATAAAAAACAAAAAATAATCTTTCCAAACATCAAGGGAAAGGGTAAACAGGTGAGACAGGTAGAACCAATAATAGACTCCCTGGTGACCAAGTACTTATGGAGCCATATGTGTGTAAGCACAATGAATAAATCAAAATCAAAGTGGACATGGCATATGTGTACATTCCATGCCTCACACACTACTAAGTTTGGGCACTATAATGCATTTACACAGAAAATAAGTAAATGGCTTTGCTGATTAGCCTAGCCCATCAATATGACATACTTTCCAGTTACATAGCCTAAAGTAGCCTTAGTGTGCCTTAGACTTCACTATTACTGAATAAAACAAAAGAATAAACACACAGTCCCTTTTCACCCACCATGTTTGTGCATCCTGAGGCCAACATCATGTATTTAGGGTTGAACTGGACACACTGAACAGGCCCAGTATGGTCAGCATTCAGCACACAAACCTGCCAAACAAAATATCATTTACAATAGCAAATACATATACAAAAAAAGGAAAAAAAATAAATATATACGTAAATAAAAAGAAAAAAGAGAGAAAGAAAAGAAAGCATTTCCTGTTAAAATGGCATGTCTTCCATTAGAACCAAATCTAATAAATATCCTCAATAAAAGTGATAAACCCCCACAGAATAATCTCACCTTGTAGCCTGTTTCCGCATTCCACACATGGACTCTACCGTCAGTCGACCCACTGAAAATAAACTGCGAGTCGGGACTAAAGGACGCCTCTAAGGGAATGCCTTTGTTGTTCAGATGTCCCTACGTAAAAGAAACAAAAGCAAAACATTAACCTTTATAAACATCCCACTCTTTACAAAATCAATAAATCAGTAAACAAAAAGTCTGCAAGTATCAACTATGTAAGTATTATTTCAATAATAAAAAAAAAAAGCTCTTCAGGAAGGGGAAAGAACAGTACAGCAGACTTGGAGACGCAACTCACGGCAAAGGTTTTGAGCGCCGTTCCCTGGAAAGCATCTACAAGTCTGATAACTGATCCATTTGTAGATGTGAGAATCGTCTTCCCATCAGGACTGAATTTGATCCCAGTCCAGTCACACTCCTTCTCCATGGATAATTGGAACGTACTAAATGGACCCTTATCGAATGATCTGAAAATATATAAGGAACACTGGTCACCCTAAGTCTCACTTTTCAAATATCTTTATATGCACATGTGTGTGCACACAGGCACGTACACATGCATGCACGCACGCACACGCACGTGCGTGCACACACACACACACACACACACACACACACACACACACACATGCTTGCATACTTATATGTCATATATACATATATAAATTTTAAATTGTGTATATAAATACATGTATAAAAGGTATGAATGAGAATGAATATATTCACAATACAATTGATGTATTTGACTGGTTTCGATTATATCTTCATCAGACAGTCAAATACATCTCTTGTATTTGAAAGATATTCATTCTCATACCTTTTCTACATTTGTCAACATGATTACGGTTCACATAAATACATCTTTATTTTGGTAAATCAAATATCTTGGGCAAGGTATATGTAGCACAAGAAACTGAAAAGTATTAAGAAATAAATCATTATTAACCCATTTGCGCCAGGAAAAAATGAACAAAAAATGGGGAAAATGCTGTGCTCATTTTTTATACTTTTTGTGAAATGTCTCTACACATAGATGGCTCTGCCTTACCTGATTTCATTTAGCGGGAAAATGTATTTTTTACTAGTGCTATGAATATCGATGGTTATTTTTATCATAAACATTATAATTACTATAATGTTATAAACATTAGTAACAGCAAAATAAGATAACGTAAAATATTTTTGTAAATTTAAAATATTTTTGTAAATTAAAGAAAAGGGTAAATAGGCGAGACAGGCAGTACAAGTAAAAGTGCAGCTATATATGTGTATAAACAATTAAACAAGTAAACTCAAAGTGGGCATGTCACGTATACGTGACACCCGGCACGAATGGGTTAAACCAATGCTGCCGGGGAAAATGAATAAAAAATGGGGAAAATGCTGTGCTCATTTTCTATATTTTGCTGAAATGTCCCTGTACTGTGAGATGCCTGGCTCTGCTAGTGTTTAGCCACAAAGGAGCTAATTAGTAGACCTTGTGACCTTATGTGATTTGAATTAGCGGGAAAAACTTATCTTTTACAAGTGCCATGAATATCGATGGTGTTATTTTTATTGTAAACATTAAGATTACTATAATGTTATAAACATTAGTAACAGCAAAATAGTAACGTAAAATATTTTCGCAAATCAAAGAAAAGGGTAAACGGGTAAGACAAGCCGTACTCGTAACTGGCTCATTGGTGACTTAGTACAAATGTAGCCATCTTTGTGTAAAAACAATCAAATAAGTAACTCACAGTGGGCATAGCACGTACGTACACGTCATGCCCGTTGGCATTGGGTTACTTTTTTTATGAACTACACAAATACAATGAATACTAAAATGCTAAAAGAATAACTAATCTTTACAGACATCTGCTTCGTCCAGTGATCACAGAACTGGAGCCAATTACCTCAAATGGAGCAATTGAGAAAAAAATTCATATCTCGCACTTCCTTTTCCTGAATATTTTGAGTTCTAATAATGCATTTTGTCCTATCATTTCTTTCTTTTACCCCCTAAGAAAAGAAAAGAAAAGGAAATGAAAAGAAAAGAAAAAAACTGTGCTAACCACTTTATTTCCTTTCAACCCCTTTAGCTAAACAAGAGAGCCTGAAAGAGATAAGCTTGTTTTCATTTACTTTTACATTTACAAGATTATGATTTTACATAAGAAAGTTGGGGTGTATTGTGTGAAAAAAATCCCAAAATCCAGGCAGTACCCCTTTAATTCATTCCAACTGTGTTTTTGCATAATTCATTTTCCCATTTGCCTTACAAGTAAATTTTGTACCTTTTAAGATTTAATTATTTGATTAATTTCTATAATAACTAAATTTCTGTTTTATCTAGTGAATAAATACCCTTGACTGAATGAAACAATAAGTGCAATTGAAACACATCTAGACCAATCATTTGGCAAGACACTTCAGTAGACATGGCCTGTGCTTTGTGTCTCGATGCATAAATTCACAAAGTAGAAGTTAATAAACTACATATAACGGTTATCACCCCCACTCACTCCCATCTTGTAAAATATACCCTTCATTTTGCCATTAGTCTTTACACATGAGAGAAGATAAATCCAACATGGATCTTACTGTACATCACACACACACACACACACACACACACACACACACACACACACACACACACACACACACACACACACACACACACACACACACACACACACACAAAAAAGAAAAAAAAAGAAAAAAAAAACTTGCACTCTCAATTCCAAAAGGATTATAAACAGACTTGAGGCAGTGATGGGTAACAGGGCTTTGTTAAATTCAGTGTTTTTAATCCTTGACTGCAAATGATGCCTTTTTTGGTAAAATGTCCCATGACAAATTTGTAACTAATAAGTTAGTTACCAAGTAACAACTGTTTTCAATCCATTACTTTTCCAAATGGACCTAACAAAGTAGGTGATCCAAAAACTATGAAGCTGCAAAGTAAACAGATGTACTTTATTCTCAAAGTCCTTGATTTTAACCTCTTCATGCATAACAAAGAAAGAAAGAAAAGAGATTATTAATATTCATGAATAGGTGAATATCCCTAAAGCCACAATTGGTTGTCACATCATGAAAAAATCTGGCTAAGGGCCTTGGAGACCAGAATAACTCATCATGAGATACTGTTGTCGAGTGGCAGGCAATCTGAAAGGGAAGATCTCGCCATGAATGCACCAAGTTCTTGGAGGAAGATTAGACTCAGTTGGCATTTAGGAAAGGCCTTTTGCAGAAGCTATCATCCAAAAGCCGTGCCTGGAAGAGTGCTGGCTCCAGGGACGACACTATCTCTATACTCAGGATCCTTTTCTTGCCCAATGTGACTGGTGACACACGGCATATTTAAAAAAAATTGAATAATATGAAAAAAAAAAAAAAGACTCAATTTATACAATGCCACTCATTGTTATTGTTATTGCAAGGAATTGTAGACTACCTAAAAAGATAATATGCAATCTGGTCAATTAAAACAGTCTATTATCATCTTGCTACAGCATAACAAATGACAAGTATAGACCTCGGAAAGTGGCAAAATAGCCAGGATTTTAGTCCAGATTCAACAGGTTAAGAATTTAACCCAATGGTGCTGGGGAAAATGAACAAAAAATGGGGAAAATATTGTGCCCACTTTCTATGTTTTTCGTGAAATGTCTGCTGATAGATGGCTCTGCTAGCGCCTGATTTAAATGGCGGGAAAAACGTATTTTTCACTAGTGCTATTAAAATTGATGGTGTTATTTTTATCATAAACATTATAATTTTTATAATTTTTTTTAACATTAGTAACAGCAAAATAAGATTACGTAAAATATTTTGTAAATAAAAAAAACGGGTAAACGGGCGAGACGGGCGGTGCTCGTAACTGGCTCATTAGGGAGTTAGTACAAGTGTTGCCATCTATGCGTAAAAACAATCAAACAAGTACTCACGGTGGGCATAGCACGTAGGTACACGTCATACCCGGCACCAAGGGGTTAAGTATTATTATGCAGTTCTAACACCATCAAAACCTTTTTTTAAGCCAATCTAGACACACTAAGGAACCCAGCCACATTTGGCTAGGGAACCCAAGCTTATCTTCTTGAATCTGGATGCCTCGCTGATGTTATGAGGACCACAATCTGGGCATTAGGATTACTTTAGCAGCAACTCGCCTTGATGTATGGATTGCATCGTGACAGCAATTTACACTCTGTGCAATAACAGTAACAATATGTAACATCATGTTATATATATATATATATATATATATATATATATATATATATATATATATATACCTATATAACTATATATATATATATATATATATATATATATATATATATATATATATATATATATACATATATATAAATATATACATATATATAACAATATATATATACATATATATAACAATATATATATATATATACATATATAACAATATATATATATATATATATATATATATATATATATATATATATATACATATATAACAATATATATATATATATATATATATATATATATATATATATATATATATATATATATATATTGTTATATATGTATATATATATATATATATATATATATATATATATATATATATATATACATACATATATAACAATATATATATATATATATATATATATATATATATATATATATATACATATATAATATATATATATATATATATATATATATATATATATATATATATATATATATATATATATATATATATTTCCAATATTTTGATATCACTCATTTTTCCATAATATCCTGCACCACCATTAACAGTGGACAGTAATAGGTTCCTGTGCATGGTTCATGGATGGTACACACACTCCCTTTTTGGACTAGAGGATATCCCACAGGAGCTTGCAAACAAGCTCTTTCCAGTAGGGGCACTTGGTAATAATATCCCATGGTGAGACATTCCCCTCACCTGTCCCTCAGCCAAATCTTTTCATGACAACATGTCCCTATCACCTAGATCCAATGGGTTACAAATCCTTTGCAAAATTTTCAATCTTGAAAGGGGGAGGGAATGTCATCTTAAAATGTACCAAACGTTTATTGATTCATTCTACAAGGCTTAATAGTCTTATCCCAATTGTAGGTAAGAGGAGGCCAAAAGAGAAAATACCCAACAAACAATTTAATGTCCTTTATTGCTTGTTTATAGCAGTCATCTCACAAATTGTAACCTGAACTCAAAAATGTACTGAAAATAACAAAAATGATAGAATTCTCAATACAAACAGTGAATAACCCCACATCTGCCCCATAGGGGTTCTTCACATACTATTGTACTTACTTTAACGAGGCCTGCTGCACTCCAGCTGGCATGAATGGATGGTGAGATGGACAGGCAGATCTCTAAAAAGATCACCAAGAAAAATAATAACCAATCGACAGATGACTATGTAGCAGGAGGACACCAGCGGCAGAAAATGGTGGGCAAAACTTTAAATCAAATTTTCTGTTTCAATATTTCTTTCTCTTTAAACTGTAATTCAGCTAATTACTTTGTATAAATAAAAATTCTACCATGAATTTCATAATAAACCTGAAGAGTAAACATGGCATCGGGTC